TTAGCCGAGCTTCAAACACGCCATAAATGGAAGCAGAGACAGTAAACTTCTTAAACCAGGTGTGCTAGTGTTAGTGCGCGAAGATAACACGCCTCCCTTAAGCTGGTGTATCGGTCGTGTGTTAGAGGTGCATAAAGATGCCGACGAAATAGTACGAGTTGTAACTATCAGAACTCCAAAGGGGACCTATAAAAGACCAGTAACAAAGCTATGTATTATTCCTAATCAGAATATTTGATGTTTGTAAATTTTATTTATTTTGAGAGTCCATGTCCTTTGAAGGGGGGACTATGTTAAGCGAAAATAAAACTTGATATGGTCCGCTGTAGACTGGTCGACTGTGGCCCCCACCAGTTATGTACGGCGTAAGGCCATTTTGGGTTAGTTGTATTCTAGACTCAAGTAAGGTAGCTAGTGTGTGTTGTTTATGATAAATAATAAAGGCATTCAATCCGTGCAATTGGTTGTTTTATCTAAAACGAAATTACAGTCCACTTAAAAACAGTTTTGATGTTTCGCCTTAGAAAATTAGTCAATGGCCGCATCGAACAATATTAACAGTTACAATTTAAAATTAACTCACAATTAAAGAAGAAAAATCAAGTGGAGGAAAAAAAGTGTATTGTAAGGTCAACAGTACAACAGGTTAAAAGTGAAGCAAACAATGAGAAAAAAATGTAGAACAAATAGTGCAAACAACAAAATAAAAAATTAAAAAGCAGCATGTAAGAAAAATATGCACCAGTACAAATAATAAATGTAAAATAAATTTATAAAATACAATAAATTTAAGATGTAAAAAGAGATAACAGATCATTGAAAACGCAGCTTAACATCACGCAATTTCACTATAGTTATTTAACATCTGATGTAAAGGCGATTTAACTAATATATTAGTGCGAGCATGAGGTACGGCAAATAAGCTATTAATGCGGCTATTAGAATTTGCCACGCTAAAATTTAAACGAGTAGGTAAGTAAATAATCAGATTTAATAACATATTGAATTATTTTATACAGCATTAATATGGAATGCATTTTACGTCTGGAGATAAGACTGTTTAACTCGAAACGGTTGTAAAAAAAATGTATAATAGACAAAGAGTAGTGAAATCTCTAAATTCACTGGAATTACGTAAAATAAAGCCCGTGTTTTTATATGCCCCCGCTATAGAAAGCTCCACATGTCGCGCAAACCTAAGCTGCGGGTCACATTACATTTAGCTGCATTCAATGACAATTTATTGTTAACACACCAATTATTATTATTATTATTATTAACACACCAATTATTAACACACCAATATTAAATGTCAAAAGACTTCGTTGCAAATTTTCGCAGTCACACAAATCGTCAATTCTGCAATATAACTTCACATTATCAGCGTACAGAAGATAGCGAATTTAGGTCAATAACAATGTCATTAATAAAAATTATGAATAGAAGAGGACCTAGTATTGAACCCTGGGGAACGCCAGAAGTCTGAGAAAATATGTACGATTTAAAACCACGATACTGAACAAACTGATAGCGATCAGTTAGATAAGATTGAAACAGTCTGAGCAAATCATCGTAAAACCCAAAGTTGTTAAGTTTTTGTAGTAGCAAAAAATGATCAATCTTATTAAACGCTTATCATCGTTTATGTGTCAAGGTTTTCCAAATTATTACCAAATCATTCCAGAATTCGAAATTGTGATCTGATATTTGCAGAATTAAAACTAATCCAGACAGTTCAGCAGTACCATTTTTCTGAAGAATTTAAAATTATTCACCACAATGAAGTTTTACGATCCCGGTTACGCCATTTAAATCTATCTGTAGGTACATAACATAAATATAGACCTGAAATTGAAAATCAATTAAAAGAATTACGAAATCGTAGAAGGGTGAGGTTTGAGACATTTTTAAGTAGTGTAACACCTGATGATCCAAAAATTAGTCAGATTAAAACACGTTTATAAAAATTACACAGCTCCACAAAAAAAAATGTTTGGGGATAGTAGTACGGTGAAGTGGGGTAAATGTGATAATGGGGTGTTACTATACCTATAAAATTTAAAAAGTATCAACCAAGCAGCCCCATCTGGGTTAATTGTTACGCACCATAGCTGTTTACCTTACCACCACTTCCACTTGTCCACGCGGTTGCTCTATCGCCAATTGTTGCACAGCTTTCAAGACGTGCGTTTTATATTAGTCTGGCGAGTACCGTATTTTTTGTGTTTATTTGCGTAAAGTTTTGATGTCAATTGGTAAGTAAGGTTTTATTACGAGGAGTGAGGTCATTAACTGTAGTTAACAATATAGTGTGTTTATTTGATCGAAATTTTAAGTTTTTCCTGGCTTTTAAGGCTGTATCACATTTACCCCAGCAATTACCATGAAGGGGGCAATTATTGTGTTATACAGTAGCTGGGAAATTGTGTTATATTATATCACATTTACCCCTTTATTATTTCAGTATTGCTATGTTGCGTAACTACAAGAAAAAAAACCTCGGATGATAAAAAATACATAAAGGCAGATCTAAAACTAGCTATTAATTACAATTCCAATCGAGGATGAAACAAGGCTAGCAAACTGTTTAAAAGTACCAGAAAAATGGGGTTATGAATTCTCCAGAAAAGAAGTCATTGGTCATTGGTAACCAAAATATATTGGACCATTAAAGATAACTCAGGTACTGGGTAATGACAGATACAGAGTGGCTTAATTTACAAAAGACAGAAGACATACAAGAACTTCAACGCTTAGTTCTTTTGGCTTGCAAAAGAAATATTACAACAGAAAAAATAAGGACAGAAGACACAGCAGGGTAACTTCAATATTCAAGGAAATACAACAAGTAGTACACTATATAACATTTCGCACAATGAAGACTTCGTTCATGCATTTATAACCAGAAATAAACACTTTGATTATTTGACCTTGATTTTTTAAATTTATCTGGAAAAATCCCTATCATTGTTAATTAATAAACAAGGTGTTTCAAAAAGCACGGGCCTGTTGGAAACCCCGTATATTTAAAAAAAAACTAATATGTATATTTTCGTATACAAAATATCCTAAATTACTATGTATAAACACCGATAAGAATTGTTTATATTATCAGCTTCACACTTGAGCGGGGAACGCCCTAACATGCTGACAAGTTAAAATTTTTTCTTCTAACTACCTTCTTCTGTAAAAGACAGTGCCACATGATAAAGTGATTATTAAATAAATATTAGCAGATAAATAAAGAGTTTTATTTTAAAAGTCTCATTTCCTAACAGGTTATGAGCCCAGTGCACGAAATAAACAGATACTAAATAAAGTGAAATAAACTTAAAACTAAATAATTGTGACATTTGTGTTTGAAAAACGTAGTGACGGATAACATAAAAGTGCGACGAAATATTCAGGCGAAAGGTACAATGTATGGAAGTTAAGACTTCGTGCTTTATTGATTGAACTGAGTGTGATTCAAGTAATAGACAATGATATATATTCCTGAGGAGCAAACTGATGAATGGTATCATGCTGAGAATATTGCTAAAAATACAATTATTGAATATCTTGCTGATTCCTTTATCGGATTTTCTAAACCCGAATATACCGCTAAAGATATATTAAAAATTCTGGATGCTATATATGATCGCAAAAGCCTGGCAACCCAATTAGCCTTACGAAAAAAGTTGTTGAGCTTGAAGTTACAGAGTGACACACCACTAATAAAACTTCACAATTTTTGAATATTTGATAACGCTATTATTAGCTGCTGGTGCAAAATTAGAAGAAACGGATAAAGTGTCACATTTATTATTAACTCTTCCTTCGTGTTATGACGGAGTCATAACAGCTCTTGAGACTCTGTTGGAAGATAATTTAACTTTGGCGTTTGTTAAAATCAGACTATTATATCAAGAAATTAAATTAAAAGATGAAAGTCAAAAAACTAATGCCAAAGTACTTCAAACTAATTGTCTAAAACATTTAAGTTCACAAAACCAATGAAAGGTTTTCAATATAAAAAGAATAAATTCAAGGTTTACAAATTTATAAGAAAACCTTTAACATCCTAGTTCGTAAAATGCCATCAGTGTTTACGAAAAGGGCATTTCAAGAAAAATTGTATTTGTTACAAACGCAGCCAACAATATGAAAATCGAAAACGAACGATCCAAACAATAAATCTTAATGAGCCAAGTACAGCAAGTAATGAAAATCCCCTTTATGACTGGAAGAAAACAATTAAAAACTACTGACAATATAATCACCTTTATTTTGGACTTCACTGAACTTAATGGATCCCATTAAGAATTTCAGTAGCGAAGAAGGATGCTTTCATAACCACATCAAGTTTAAAATATTTAAAGTTTTTGGTTCTACCATTTATGTAGGTACATAATAAAACAAATAAGACGAAATTTGATGAAAAATGCAGTAAAGCTATCTTAGTAGGGTATGTACCAAATGGATATAAAGCGTGGGATGTGGACTATGAGAAATTATTATTGTTAGAGATGTTATTGTAGATGAAGCGAATTTTTTAAGATCAAGGCCGAAATTAGATAATAAAACTAATAAACCAGATAGAAGTGTGGTTAAAACTGACGCATCTGACAAAATCAGTAGCAAAATCTGATAGATAGTAATAAATCAGGAGAATTTGTTGATGAATATGATTTACAGCCAAAGTTACTACTAAAACTGAGAAATGAACCGTGGTTTCCAGTAGAGAATTCATATTTCTTTGCTTATCCAAAATCAAAACTTTGGATTGATGGCTGTTCGGCCATTCGAAAGTGTGCTAAATTATCCAACGCAAAGTATCCCGAATTATTAACCTCTTGTAGATTACGAAAACATTTAGCTACTGTGACCCAACTACTCAATTTACAAGGAAATGAAATTGACCAGTTGGCCAAGTTCATGGGGTATACTGCAAAAACTCACTAAACGTTTTATAAGTAAGTAAGGTAGTCGGCAATGTTTAGTTAGGTGTTAATGTTGCTTACCATTTGCGTGGCAATGTGGCTTTGCGTGGCTTTCTTTTATTAAATTCTTTTATATTTTCAGATTGCCACAAGATCTATACCAAATTGCTAAGGTATCAAAGATTCTGCAAATAATGGAGAGAGGGAATGCAGCTCAATTTAAAAATAAAACTTTAGAAGAAATAGATATTGATATGGATGAAGTATATATAGAAGATCAACCAGATTATAACGAGTTAGATGAACCTGTACAACAGGAAACCGATCCAGCACAATCACACATAAAATGTACAGAAATTTACCAAGAAAACATGCACGCAGAAACAGAATCTAGAAAAATAAATAAAAAACAAGAGCAAGAAAAATATACGGGTATTTTCTGTTAATGTTTCTTAATTAGCTACATAAAACTAATAGTTTTTGTTTTAGATGAAGAAGACATAACCTACAATAATTGTAGTGTGCCAGTGGTACAAGATATAGGTGACAATATTTCAGAAAAAAAGGTATCTTTTAATACTAGATACTGTTTTTGTAGGTTAATATATTTCTACATATATATTTTTTAGGTTATAGACAACGTTGGACATTTAATCAAAAAAATATTATGCGAATGTACTTTTCAAATGAGATAGCATCCAAAAGAGCCTTACGAAAGTTGGAGTGCGAAAATTTTATTAAGAAACATAACACTGTTATATTGGATTCACTCGAGCGTGCCAGGGATAGGGAGAAGCAGGTGAAGCCAGGGAAGTCGGGCTTCAGAGCGTGTCCAACCAATCAGAGAACGGTGTGTCGCGCCATGGAGGGAGCCTGTGCCTATCACGGCGTGGGTATAGATAGAAGCTTTGACCTTCATATGCGCAGAAACATAATTCCGACCGTCGCCTAAATTATTCTACGTCCTAAAAACATTACACCTATTTATTCACAGTCTCTCTCCAGCTCTCGTAACGTAAACAAGCATTCGATCCGATTACAAATATCTTAATAAAATGCCTTATTCTTTATTATTTTAATTTAAGCAATTAAAATATATATAACGAACGTTCGCCAGTTGATTTTATTGATGCCCGAGCGCCTTAGTTCATTTCTACTTGTAATGATGCACATGGTCTAGTTCTGAGTCAATGTTTTCACAATGTGCTTATTAGAAGAATTATGCGGATACTCCACGCCTTTCGCGCATTTCGCGGCTCATGAGATATTGGCTGCGTTCAGTTGAAGACAGCGCTTCCAATCGGCTTTCAAGCAGCTGTAAAACTTTTCTACTGAACGAACTGCTCAATACCTTCGCTGGATTAAGCGGCCGCCATCTTTTTAAGCATACTTCTTGATACGCTTAAATTATCAGCGGCTTTCAGCGCAATTGACGTAACCTTAAAATAATAAAATATTTGGTTCGCATCGTCCCGTGAAACGTCCCGTAAATAAATGTACCTATTATTTTTATATTTTGTGCCTGTGTTATAATAATAGGTATAATAATACGTGACGATGGAGAAAGAATATATATATTTCAAGGTGAGCTGTATAAAATTTGTGAAAATGAAGAAATTCACGAATTATTGCAAGGTATGAAAATTGATTTAAGTACAATTTGGTGCAATGTTTAATTATTTTTGTCATATTTTTGTAGATTCAGACTTATATTGATCAACATTCCAATTCTATAGAAAGAGGCATTCCGATTGATGATGATGTTGACTCAACTAACGGTAGTAATAAAGAAGGTAGTAAATACCTGTATTAAGATTTACTTATTAAGAAATTGTTACAAATATATTTTCCCATTAATTTGAGGTAAAGTAATATATCGGTATTTTGTTTTAGTTCAATCAGTTGAATACCAAAAATTAAAAGAAAAGTTTAGAGATCCCAAACAAAAAAAGAAGGGCCTATGGCAAGAAATTAGTAAAGCATTTCTAATAAGAGTATACGTAATTGAAGATACTGCTCTAGACAGGAAATTTAGAAATTTATAGTCGCACTATAAAACCATCAAAGATAATTATAAAAAACAAAAACTGGGCAAGGGCGAGTGTCTTGGGAATATTTTGATATAATGGATGAAATTTTTGAGAGAGATAAAACAATTAATACAAAGAATGTTTTGTCCTCAATGATAGCCTGTACTAGGGAACAAAAAGAAAATGAGGAAACGGAGCATTTCTTAACAGCCGTCAATAATAACAATGTGGTTGAGAACTCTCAGTGTAATGAAGGTGGGTTTTATATATACTACTTATATAAATATATGTATTGTTTATAAACTGCACTGAAATAGCTATAGCATAAAAATTATTATATTTGCAGATTATTCAAGTTCAAGTACTATTTCTCGACACACCTACAAAACGGAGAAAAATTTTAGGAAGCACAAATCTTCACAGATTCAGAAACGAACTTCTTAAAACTGAAAAAATAAGACTGCTGCATTAAAAGTAGTAGCAGAACAAATGATCGAATATAATAGATTACTAAGCAGGAAATTAGATTTGATGGAAGAATATTTACAACAAATAGTGGCTAAACTTGTTTGTTATTTATAATGTAAAACTATAAAGACTATGTATAGGTGTTTTGATATTTTATTTTTATTTGTTCTTATATAGATAATACAGAAAAATATTATTAAATGATAAAGTTTAATTATTACATTGCCGAACTATTTCAAATCTTTTCCTTTCAGCTTCTCCTACTGCATTCATGTCATTGCCAATAACTCCTTCATTTTCATTTACTAAAATCATATTTTCTACATTGTAGTCATCTTGGGGATTTCTTAGAATCAATATAAAATTATGTAACATGCAAGAAGCTAAAATTATTTTATTTCCCGTGTTTACAGTTTCAACATCTAAAAATTTTAATAGGCGGAATTTACATTTTAGAAGGGCAAAAGTTCTTTCAATTATAGATCTAATACTAGGGGTAAGACGGGGTCATGGGGTAAGACGGGGTACTCCACTTACTCCAAAAACTAACATGTATGGATAGCTTTACTGCATAACCTTGGACTCCCTAGACGACAGTCCTGCTCAGTGATTGCAGAACAGCAGTTCGAAGTACACCGTTTGGAGGTTATGACTGATTTATGAGTTTTACGTATGAGTGATCTTATTTTACGGCAAAAAGCATCGGGTGTCAAAAAGTGTGCATTCAGTTAAAGCAAAAACATTATTCTCACTATAGAGTACCAGCATAGGGGCGTATTTAGCCAAAATCATTTGTTTTTTAAAGTCGGTTGGAAAAGGTAAAAAACAACTTTTGTAACAAATGTGGTTTGGGGCATGATGGGGTGCAATATTTCTTGGGTATCCCATCTTGCCCCAATATTTCTCTTCCTAAGAAATCATATTGAAAAATTTATTACTAATTAAAAGATACATGAACTATTAAAATAAGTGTTTGTTTTCAGTACAATGGTTTGCAAATATAAAAAGAAAACATCGAGGGGAGAGTGGTCCAAAGAAAGTATGAAACAGGCAGTTGAAAAAGTCTTAAACAAAGAAATGGGTTACCGCAAAGCGGCATTGCAATATTCAGTGCCACAAACAACGTTGGAAAGACACGTCAATGCGATTAAAACCAAAGGTGAAATGAACTTAGATTTGCCGTTAGGGCCAATTGCAACAGTTTTTAGTAAAAAAGAAGAAAATGAATTAGTCGAATATTTGAAAGAAATGGAAGCAAGGTTATTCGGACTTAGTACGCTGGAGCTGAGAAGTTTGGCCTATCAATTGGCCGTCAAAAATGGTAAAAAACACAGATTTAATACAACAGCCAAACTCGCTGGTGTCGATTGGGTCCAAGGGTTTTTAAAACGTCATTGTGACTTATCAATAAAACCCGAAGCAACCTCAGCTGCCAGAGCTATGGGATTCAATAAGATCTCCGTTGCAAAATTTTATGAACTTTTGGGTGCTGTATTAGATAAATATAAGTTAGGGCCTGATAGGATTTACAACTGTGGTGAAACAGCCATCTCATCGGTTTCTAAAACAAAATTCAAGATAATTTCACGCAGGGGTAGAAAGCAAGTGGGATCATTGTCGTCAGCTGAACGAGGACAAACAGTTACCGTCAAAATTTGTGTTAGCGCTGCAGGAAGCTATATGCCGCCAATGCTAATCTTCCCTCGCAAGCGCATGAAAGCTGAATTATTAAACAACTCGGCACCAGGAACAACTTCCCATTGCAATGCCAGCGGATGGATGACTACAGACGTATTTGTCTCTTGGTTCAAAAGTTTCATTCAATTCAGTAGAGCAAGCAAAGACAACCCTGTGCTGCTTTTACTCGACGGTCACGCTACCCACACCAAGAACATCGAGCTTATAGACAAGAAGCCCAGTCTATATGGGGATTAAACTTTTGAATCGGCTGCCCGAGTGTGTGAGACTGGAGAATAATCCAAATGTTTTTAAACGAAAACTTAGACAATTTTTATCAAATGAATGTTTTTATAATGCTGCAGAATTTTTAAATATTAAATTTTAAATTTTATTGTGCATGTATCTGTATGTCTTATCAATTGTTAATGTCATTGACGTGTATACATCATATATATACTTTTATATACTTTCCTATTTCTTATATTGACTTCTCTTATATCTTTTGCTTGTAAGATCTGAAGGGATGAATAAATATATTATTATTATTGTAAATTATTTGTTGTGGTGTTAAATGCCCATTGTCCTGAAATGGCTTCATTAGGTTTACCATAAGCGGATAAGCAGAATCTCCAATTAAATGCATATCGGGCGGTAAAAAGTGCAGCTCTGTAATCTGTCGGTATATTTCACTTAACCGAAATACCCTAGCATCATGCATGCGACCAGGCATTCCTATCGTGGTATCAATGAAGATTCCATCTTCATTACAAATACCTTAAAAACAAATTTTTCTTGTATAAAACAAACATATTAATTTCAACATCACATACCTTGAAGAATTATGGAATGAAAACCTTTCCTATTGTAATAATCAACAGCATTCCTTTCAGGTTAATTGGTATATGGCAACCATCAATAGCCCCTATTACTCCAGGAGTGCCATGGGACCGAGCCATAAATACCTAGAAATAGAACATAAAATATTTATGTAATATGTTAAAATCTATTTCTTAACTATCGACATATTACACTTGTTGATCGTAAAAGTTTTTGCCTATTTGACTATCGTATATATTGAGGTGACATCTGACAAATAAAATCTATAATTTCTTTAAATGCTTCATATGCCGAACTTTTCGCTAGGCCAAACCGGTCCCCTGCAGCTAGAAAACTTTCTGGTTTACTTAATATCCAAATTGTAAATAATATATTTTTTTAAAGGAATTATTCTGTCTTCGTAATTTCTTCCTCTGATTTCTCCCAGGTGGTTAATTAATTCCTGAAAAAAAAAAAAAAATTACACTAAGTACTTAGACTTACTGTGTGCTCGATTTTCACAAAATATCTCACAATATATCTTACCTATCTGAAATGTTCTTCTAGACATTCGAAAATGTTCTCGAAACTGAAAGTCTGTGTACCGAGGTATAATAACTTCGAAATAATATTGGTTTCTAACGATTTCGTTTCTTCCTTCAATATGTTGAAAGTCTTCCGCTTGTGGTAAATCTTCATTAACTACTGCGTTAACTGCATTAAATATCATTTTGTTCTCATCTTCAAATAGCTCAAATTGGATGTCAATTTTGAGCTTATGAAAGTAATCACAAGGAAAAATATGTACTTCGTCAAGCAAGAAAGCAAGATGACAAATTTTGAGGTTATAACTATGACAACTGAGATTTGAAATAAGCGAAGCTAATCGTTCATCCGACTTCAGCATGATTTATCAGCGTAATAAGCTGAAAGCGAAAAGCGCTTATTTCAACTGAAGCCATTAGCTTCGTTCGCGGAGCTAATTCTGAACCAGTTCAGGGACTATTCGCATGCGCACTCTTAAAATACGCGTTCGCGGTGACAGAATTCTGAATTATTAATAACAGTTCTGCGTTCGTGGATCACATCGAATTGGTTCGTTACTGATTCTGAATCGGTCCTGGCAGTCCTGGGATTTTTGGTAGGACTGAAAGTTCGATTCTGTCGATCATGCGCAACTATCATCAGCTGTAACGTATCAGATGTTAGCAAACTCTAATCTAGGTTTATTGTGTTTTGTGAGTTTATTTAGTTTTTATGCTTTTTGGATGAGTATTGATTTTTGACTACATAGTATAGTAAATAGTTATATTTTATTATATATTTATATTTATGCATAACGAATAATTTGTGGTATAGTGTGTGTGATTTATTTCCATCCACCAAACCACCATGTCAGATTATTTATCGTCCAGCGATGAGGACATGGAAGAGTTGTTGGAAGTTATTGAAATTCCTAAAAGTAATACATACTTTGAGGAAGTCGTGCCACAATTTAATAATGAGCAATATATACAACATTTTCGGTTAACTCGAGAAATGACTGAAGAGTTAGCCAATCGATATGCAAATTCAGAATATTACAAATGGCAGGAAGGTGATTCGGAGAAGGTTACACCTCTTAAATACATAACTGTTTTTTTATGGTTTGTTGCAAATGAGGCAGCTTCATTTAGAGACGTTGCCGATCGATTTAATGTGACCAAAAGTACCTTATTCAAAATTGTAAGAAGTCACATATTTTCTAAGCAACATATCCCACGAAGTAATAAAATGGCCTACTGACTTGGAGAAGGTTTGATATTGAGACGTATTTTCAAAATCACAATTTCCCTGGTGTTATAGGAATTATTGATGGCACACATGTACGAATAGAAAAACCAGCAGAAGACCCTGACTCTTATTTAAACCGGAAGCTTTTTTTTTCTATTCAGGTAAGTCTAACTAAAAGTACTAAAAAAGGGAATATGTAGAATTCTAGAAATACTTGTACAATATTAACATTTTATAGAAAATACATATATGTTGTTACATTAGTAACGTTAATTATGTTTTGTTTAAGGCTCAGGTGGTGTGTGATCATAAACGGAGGATTCGTGATATCTTTGTGGGATATCCTGGGTCAGTACACGACAGTCGGGTTTTCAGAAGCTCCCCTCTCAATGAGACCTTACCTGGAAAATGTAGAGAATTCTTCATTTTGGGTGACAATGGCTATCCCTGTTTAAATAACTTATTGACTCCCTTTAAAGATATTGGGCATTTAATCAGGCGTCAAAGAAATTATAATTATCTACTATCCACAAATAGATACATTATTGAACACTGTTTCGGACTTTTGAAACAAAAATTTCGTCAACTTTACCATATCAAGATGCAAAATATTGAATTTTGTAAGAGCATGTGCTGTTCTGCGCAATATTTCACTAGATGTCAATTTTGATGCAGAGGCACAAGCAATAGATCTTCAATATAACATCGTTTTAAATGAAGACGACCAACCAGACAGAGATGATCGACGGGGTTTAGCAGTTCGAGACAATGTTATGAATAACTTACCGTTTGTACTTTAAAGAATAAAAATGATCATTTCTTCTTTTTTAATTTAATTTTTAGATGCGAGACAAAAGGTCAGAAAGAAAAAATTTCTATAAAAATGATATACTTACATAAGTTTATTTAAAACAAAACAAAAAATCATTCAAATGGGTAATAATAATCCAAAAACTAAAACAAAAAGTAAACTCTAGTAAAAATAATAATACACCTTGAATAAATATTCTGAAAAATAACAATTTTTAAAAATCATCATAGATCTGTTTCAGGTAAGTAAATATTTTTGTTTAAGAATTTTTCTAATAAAACATTTTTTTTACTTTTTTAGATAGTTTTTCTTCAATTTCCAGTCATTTTCTGTAATACTCCATTCTCTATTACTTCTAATGTCCCTAAGAATATTCCATTTCAGTCTTTTATTTTCTGTTGGAAATTTTTTAACGTTCACAGCCTTTCGTTTTAATACTTTAGTTTGAATAGTTTCAGTCTTTTCTTGGTTTTCCATTTGTTCAGCATTCATATTTTCTATATCCATAGCATCATCTGCATCTGTTGCTGATGATGTTGATGGAATATTTATCATGTCAGACGATAAAAGTAACACAGGATGAATATTCTTCCTCTGGCCTAGAATACTATGCATAATGCATAGTCAAAAATTTTTCTTCCCCTGCCAGTTAATTTAGAATTTTCTATGTACTTTTTATAGTTTCTTTCAAGAACTTTCCATCTATTTTCGGAGTTGGTCCCTGATATCTATCTCTTTGTTGCAGTTCTTTTGCGATTTCGTCAAACATTTTTAAATTTTTTATTCTTAGTGAACCCACCTGGTCTCGGAATTTTTTATAAAGTTCCAGAAAAGTTAATGTATTTTGGTGAGTCCATTTATGAGTTTCCTCCTCTTCTGGGCGTGGAAAGACCAAAAATTCGACTAGTGCGTCTAGAAATGTATATATGTTGTGTGTTAAAAATAAATTACAAAAACAATAACTACATATTTACCATCTTCGGTTTTATTCATTCTGATTATTATGTTTAGCAAATACTCTCATCAGTATTTGAGGTTAGATAGGTACACAAAATTTAAAGTCAAATACCACAGAATATTCAATTTACATCACAGAATGACTTTGATTTTAGATTTTTTATTCTGCTGTGCTGTGAGGTGGTGGTGTAGAATCAAGTTCGCGTTCGCGGTAAATAAAAATTCGGAACTGGTACAGAGGCGTTTTAAACAATCCTGAACTAGTTCAGAATCGGTTCGAAAAGTGATCCGCGAACAAAGCTATTGAAACACCTCTACCTCGTGCATTCGATCCAAGCTAGCTTTTGGTACATCAACATATGTAGGTTGTTTAAATAAATTGCATTGTGCGTGCCGCTGGTGAACTTTGATAGTAGTTGGTTTCAGTTCCTAGCAACGCCCGAGTGAGGCGGAGTGGCATATTTTGGACCCAAATACGTGTAGAGGCTGGCGAGGTGTTGAAATTATATATGTACAGAGTGTTTTGCTTATTCAATCTGCCTCAATACCAGTGCCGCGTGGGTGCGAGGTGGAATCGGCTTTGTTATCTTCAGGGCAGCGCAAAGGCCGGCAAGCAGCCGTTTGGACTCAAAAAGGTAGGTGCCTAGCATGTTTATTTGCCTCCCCGAGTTGTTGAAAAGTCGGAGTGGTGTGTACTTTGTTTGGAACGGTCATACCGTTGGCAGTCGGTGCCATTTACCCGCCTTGTTGCCGTTGAAACGTGTGGCCTTTCATGCCGGAACATTCACTATAATAAGAAAAATAATAGAACCAAACGTAACAACACTAACTTTGAAAAAGTAACTTGGTTAAGAGTTAAGACATTTATTTTCAATGAATCACGAATGAAATAATAAAT